CATGTGCCCTGACCAGGAATCAAACCGGCAGCCTTTCAGCTTCAGAACGACACCCAACCAACTGAGCCATACTGGTCAGGGCAGAAAGTCCATTTTTAATGGGCTGGATTCAGGAGTGGGAAGCCTTTTCTGGTTGGATGTTCCCTTTTGGCGGGACAGTCATTGATTTTCCTTCTCCCAGCTTCCTGTGTCATAGCCACTTAAGATTCTAAATCCCCCAAGGATGGATCGCATCTAGAACCTTTGTGTGCGTGGCACAGGGCTGGCCCCCAAAAGATGCCAGGGAGTGTTTGCTGCCTGAATGAATGAATGAATGAGCGGGTAAATGACAGCCACTTCGAAGAGGCAGAGCCTGGGCTTCCTTCATGTCAGTGCCCTTCCATCCAGCATGTTGTCCTCTGGGAATGTCCTCTGTTTACAGGGTAGGCGGCCCTCCTTGCCTTCCTCTCTCCTCCTCCTCTGTGATTCCAGCCCCTCTGGGAGTAGAATCAGAGCAGATTCGGGCACTGGGGAGCCACAGGCCTTTGCTCCTGCTCCTTCCCGCCCAGCTGGCTGGGAGCTGGGGGCTGGCGAGCCCCTCACCGCGATGGAGCCAGTGGCAGGGGCTGCACAGTGGGGGGCCGAGGGTGCAGGCTGATGGGGGTTGGCACCCTCGTCTCTGCCACCTAAAAGCTGTGTGACCTTGTGCAGATTACTTCCCCTCTCTGGGACCATTTCCTAATCTGTAAAATGGGGCTAAAACCAGAACCCACCACAGAGGCTGCAGGGAGGCTGTGGTGAGGCCTAACAGACAGGATGCACGCGGGGTGGGCGCAGGAGCATTCAGTAGGCGTGCACTGCTATTATTCGTACTCAGGCCGGTGTTGTTATTTTCGAGTTCCCCCCTCCCACTGCCTTGGGGGGGTCCCTGAAGCCCCCCTGCAGCCAGACAGGCAGGGAAAGATAACAAAAGGCAGGCAGGGCCAAGGCCCCCAATTCCCTGTTCTTTTAATAAAAATAAAGACAGCCTTTAGACATCCTCCTCCTGTGCATTGTTCTGCCAAGGCAAGCAGCACAGACTTAATACCTCCTTGGACTTGGAAAGTTCCTTCCATTCTTTCCCCTCCCCTGTCACATTTCCTTTATCTAAATCCTTAGCTATGAAAGGGCATATCGACAACTGGGGGCGTTATCTGGTGGAGGGGACCTTTTCCTAGGGGTGCCTCCGAGATAAGGCGTCCTATCAGCCCCCGCGTCAGGGCTGGTGCCAAAGCAGTCTAATCATTGAGGCTTGCGACATTTTCCCCTCCCCCCACCCTTTTTTATTATTAAAGTCACAAAAGACCTTGGGCTTATAAACAGCCTGATTTGCAGATAGGGTTTCAAAATGAGCAGCGCTCCCAGGATGGTCCGTGGCTGGGGGGGTAATCAGTATAGGCGGGGGCTCTGAGGGGCTGGCTTTCTGCAGATGGGAAGATCATGCGTGTTTTAGGCGCCTGCCCCCGTCCTACCCCCATCCTGCCCCCAGCTTGCTGTGTGACCTTGTGCAGGGTGCTTGGCTTCTCTGGGCCTTGGGCCTTCCTCTGACAATAACCAATTCATTGGTTCCTCCGTTCATTCAACACCTGTTTATTACATGGTTACTCTTTGCCAGGCACTGGGTAGAAAGAAATAAGACATGGTCCTTGCCCCTGAGAAACTTGGAGTCTCGTGGAGAGAGACAGACATGAAAATTGGCAGTTACAGCTCCTTGTGATTAGGGCCGTGAGGGGGGATCCCCAAGGGAGGGGCGCCAGAGTCCAAGTTAACATGGACAGGGCGCTGCAGGCAGAGGGGCAGAGCAGGCCTCTGCCTAGGGCTGTGAGGCAGCCGGGCCAGCGACGGGGAGGGGGCTGGGAGGACGCGAGGAGAGATGGGGAGGCAGGTCTTGGGGGCCCTGCAGCCCAGGCAGTGAGGGTCGGGCTCTATTCTGAGGCCAGAGAAAGGTGTTAAGTCCAGGGAGACGGGTCTTAGTCTTGATTGTAGAGGATGGTGATGATGCGGAAACTGGAGGTTGCGGTCCACTCCTCCGTGCCTGGCTGGCCCCTGCCCACCTCCGCCCTGAACCCCCACCTTCCCCAGCCACAGGGCAGATGGTTCCTGGGAGAATGGGCAGTGATTTAGGGGAACGGGGGGGATGTAGAGAGAATTCTCCTACCCCGAGTGCACCGCTCAGGCTGCAGGGCACTGCCAGCCGAGCCTCCAGAAGCTAGGGACCCGTCCAGGCAGCTGCATCGGACAGGCAGAGCCGAGGCCTCAGGGGAATCCTCCGTGGCCCTGAGATGGGGCGGGCGACCTCTGGGCTCCCAGGACTGCCTGGCCAGTCACCATCAGAGCACTCGGAAAACTACAGGGAGGGCAGGTGAGGGTACGTGGAGAGGCCCCAGGATAGGCAGCGTGCCGCTCCCCTGCCAGCAACCGTAGTCCCCAGCCTGCCCCTTTCAACTGCAAAGCATGCTGGGATACGTGGCCCCGGGGGACTTGTGAGGTGGGGGCTGGAAAGGGGCTGGGCCAGAGGTGGAGAGGAGCTGGGCGTGGGCAGGACGGGGAGGAGAGTGCCCTGGGTGGGTCATGGAGCCAGTTTATAAGAGGGGGCAGTAGCTTCCCTGGGGTCACGCGGCGGGCACTGGCTGGGGGAGGTTCCAGGCTTCCAGCCCAGGTTTCCTCAGCTCGCTCTGGCCCAGTGCTGCCCAGGGGTGGGCGGCAGGCTCACCCAGCCTCTGCGTGCTGGGTGGCCCCGGGCAGGGTGCTGCTGCTTTCTGGCTCGGGCTTCCCGATCTGTGGAGGGAGAGGCTGGGCCCTGCAGCCCCCTGGCCTTCCCCAGGCCTCCCCTCTGTCCCCCACAGCCTGCATCGGCGAGAGGCGGGCACTGCGCTGGGCTGGAGTGGGGGAGTGGCCAGGTCGCGTGCAGGGTAGCCCAGGGCCTCTTTCCTTCTAGGTGTGCGCACAGCTGTGTGTGTCGGTGGACCGCGTGTGCGTGAGAGGGGCCGGAGGGCGTGGGGGGCGTGGGGGGCGTGTCCCGTGGGGTGGGAGAGGGTCTGCCCCTCTGCGGGAAAACACAGTGAGCGAGCACAGCTGCGTGTGGGCACCCAGCACCCCGGCGGCTTTTCTAAATGGCCCTGGGTGTCCGGGTGGGGCAGGGCGTGCCTACGTGGGCAGGTGTGTCGTAAAGGGCCCCCTCGAGGCCCGCTCTGCCACCCGCTCCGTCCCAAGTGCCCCAGGAGCCGTGCCTCGTCCCGCAGTCAAGAGCTTTCATCTCTGCAATAAGCCCACTTCACTCCCTTTTTAAACTGTATAATTTCTGCCTGATTGTAATGGCATATTTTAAAATTACCCGAAATCAAAGCTGGGAAGTGGATACTGCAGCTTTTATTGCGTTGCCGCGTTAAGGCTGGCGATTGGGTGGAGGGGGGAGGATGAGAACCACCTCCCCTCCCCCAACCCATCCCCTACTCTCTCTCTTTTTTTTTTGAGACAGTAATAGGAGAAAATTGGTTTTGAAACTGAATAAAAGTCCCTTTCAGTGTAAATCATTTCTTTCAGGGCACCTTTGCTGAAAGTAAAATAGAGCATAATGAAAGGTGGCTACGTGATTGTCTTTCATTTACCGAGAGGCCGGGACAGACAGGGGGCTGCAACCGTCTCCGGGAAATACAAGACTGGAATAATTGCGCGGTAACAAGGAGCTTGTTGTGAAATTAGTATCTTAAGAAAGTAGTGAAAAAAGGCTTTTCCTCATGAATACTTCATTATTAGAAGAAAGCAGCAGAATTTAGGGCTCCAGACACCTGTTTAGTATTAAATAACTTCCTTTTCTTCCCCTTAAACACACCCCCCCGCCCCACCCCCCACACACTCTGTCTCTTTCTTTTCTTTCCTTTTTAAAACCAGCATGAGGATTGGGTTGGCCCAGCGTGGCTGCTTGGGACTCGGGTCATGGGAGTGGCGCGGGGTTAGGAGGTGGCGGGGACAGAGCACCAGGGCAGGAGGGGCGTCAGGGGTGTCCAGGGGTCGGCTCACACCTGGGCCTGCCACCTCCTCACTGGGAAAAGAGGGAGGGAGGAGCCCAGCAGAGAAAGCCCCGCCCTGTCCCCAGGGCCTCCGGGGCAGGCCCTGCCGCTGTCACCCCGCTCCTCAGGGTCTCCTCAGGGTCTCCAGGTTCTCAGGAAAGGGGATTTTGTGAACACAGGGCAGCTGACTGTGAGTGAGCAAGCAGAGGTGGTCCTGCCTGGAGCCACATCTGAGCTGCCACCTACACAGACCTCTGCCTGCCCTTTCTGGCTGGGGTAGGGAGCTCGGTCAGGAAGCCACAGTGGCCTTTGGGGCCCTGGCTCGGAGTTCAGCCTGAGCTCCAGGCCAGGCTCAGCATAGGCCAGGGTTGGAGCCCCTCTGGTCCTCTCCCCTCCAAGGTGCTGTGAGAACACCCCGGACCAGGGGCGGACCAGCTTCAATAAACTGCAACACCTTGTAACCACTGGCAGTCCCTGGCACCCCTCCCTGCGGTTCCAAAGATGGCCGGGAGAGGTCTTTGCCCTTGCAGAGCTCAAAGCTGGAGCGGGCATGTGTACAGATCCGCTCCCAGGCAGCAGTGAAGGAGCTGGAAGGACAGCCTGCTGAGCGCACACGGAGGGGTGGGAATCGGGGGAATCTGAGAGGCAGACGGCGTCAGGGTGGCCCCTCGGAGGGGGTGAGCTGTACCCAGAGCGGCTCTGGGGCATGTCTGAGCAGCCAGCTCTGGCCCCATCACGCTGGAACGCCATCCCTTGGGAGACCCAGAACCTTTCCCTCCTGTGGGGCCGCAGACAAGCCCCTTGAAGCCCCCTTGCTGGTCTGTCTAATAAGGGAGAAAGGGCACCTGCTGGGAAGTCTCTGATGTTCTCTGGGGTAGTGGGAGGCTGCCCGCACCAAATCCGGCTGGGGGGGGGGCGGGGGGCGGGGCTGGAGCAGCCCCTGTGACAAGTACCTCCTCTCCCTTCCCACAGGGACCCTGCCGCCGAGCGTGCCGCGCTGCGGGCCCCCAGTTTAGCCATGCTGGCCTGTCTGCAGAGGACCCAGAACCCACCGGGCCAACACCTGGCCTGCCCGAGCAAGAGCCTGGAGCTGCGCAAGTGTGAGTGGGCACCCTCACCCTGCACGACACCCTCCGCGCCCCCACAGTCCCCCCCGCCTCGCCCCTCCTCTGCCTGCTCTGTGTCCACAGGGCTTGCTTCCTGTTTTTGGACACACCGAGCCTTTCCCGTCTCAGGCCTTTGCAGGGCAGGGCCCGGGCAGGGCAGGGCATGGCATCCATGCCCCAGCACGCCCCCCACCTCGCCCCAACCCTGTCTTGAACTCTGTGCCCCTCTAGGCCTTTGCCCAGGTTGTGCTGCCACCCTCGAGTCCCTTCCCTACGATGGCACCCACTCCCTTTGGCGAGCTCCCAACGGGTGTGACGGCCTTGCCAGTGCCTCTCCGACCGCTGCCAGCACCATGGCCCCACTCCCGCCCCGCTTGCGGCCCCACTGTGCGCCACATCTGTCCCCCTCACCATCATTTCCCTGCCTTAGCAGAGGGTAGGATTATGTGGAAGCGAGTGGCCCGGAATGGGATCCCGGCTCTGGGCCCCATTCGCTGCGTGACCGACCTCAGGCATGTCCTCTCCCTCGCGGGCCTTGCTTTTTCAGTGTGTCCAGTTAGGGAGCCGGACGTGGTACCTCCAAGCATATTAATTATTGTAGTATTATAATACATTAAAAAAAATTTAACAGCTTTATTGAGATGTAATTCATGTACCATACAATCCACCCATCTGAAGCGTACAACTCAGAGTTCTTTAGTATGGTTACAGAATTTTGCAACCTCACCAGAGTCAATTTTTGAGTGTTTTATCACTTCAAGAAGAAGCCCCTTCTTAACCATGAGCGGCCACTCCCTTATCCTTCTGCCTTCTTCCTTCTCTGTAGGTTCCCCTCTTCTGGGCTTTGATAGGAGGGAATCATGCAATACACAGCCTTTTGTGACTGGCTTCTTTCACTTGGCGTAATCTTTTCAAGATTCATCCATGCTGTGGCATGTGTATAACACATTTTAACATATGCTGATGTGTGTTGTTCCTTATTATTCACCGTCCCCCCATGCAGAATCTCCTTGGTTTTTTTCTGTCTGAACTGTGGCATCAATTTATCTAGGTAAGGACAGAAGTCCTGTTTGTGTTTTTACTGGAACTGCATTAAATTTATAAATTAATATAGGAAGAAATTGCATTTTTATGATGATTATATCTTTTTCTCCAAGAACATGAGTATATACCCTTCTCTCTGTGTTCCAACGTTCTCATGTGTCTCTTGGGAATGTTTTAATACTTGCTTTATTTAGACCTTACACCGATTCTGAGTTTACTTCTGAATAGTTATCCGTTTTTTGGCAAGCCTTATCTTTCATAAATGGAGGTTATTTATATAAAGGCTATCAACTCCTACCACCTTTCTGAAATCTTTTGTTTGTAATGGTTTTTTAATTTAGTCTCTTAAGGTTTTCCAGTTTACTGTTATATCATTTGCAAATGATAATTTTATTTCCCACTTTGGAAGTTTTATATCTTAATTTTTTTGTCTTGTTTAATATTGTTGGCTACTATCCCTGGAACAATGAAAAATAATGTGATAACAGACATTCTTGCTTTGCTCCTGACTTTTAACAAGAAGCTTCTATGATTTCCCCATCAGTAAAACACTGGATTGGGGGCAAATATTTTATCAAGTTGAATGCCTGTCAATTTCTTCTTACTTTATTAAGAATTTTAAAAATCAAGAATGGAAATTGGAGTTTACCAAATGATTTTTCAGTGTTTCTGAAGACAATCATATGTTTTTCCTTTATTAATGTGAATAATAATATAGATTTCTTAATGTTGAACCATCCTTGCATTCCTAGTTGAATCCCACTTGTTTATGGAGAATCTTTATAATATACTACTGAGAGATTGGATTTACTCTTTTACTTAGTAGTTTTGCCTCAGTTTCATCAACAAGAGTAGTCTTTAGTTTTCTTTTTTTTGGAACAGTTTTGTTGGGTTTTGCTCTAAGCTTTATGCTTGTTTCCTGAAGAGAATGGAGAATTTCCTTCTTTCTCTATGCTTTGTAACAGTTTAACTAGAAATGGATTATCTGTTCTTTGAAGATTGGTTGATCCTCCATTAAACAGTCTGGGCTAGTACATTTATTTGGGGTAGGTGGGTAGCTCTTTAATAATATTGTCTCTTCTGGAATAATTCATTTGTTTTAATTGTTCTGCTTCTTGAATGAATTTGATAAATTATATTTCTCCAGAAAAGTATTCAATTCATCCAGGTTTTCAAATTTATTTGCATGAGGCGGAAGAAAGTAATTTACAATTCTTTTAAATGATTAATTCACCCTTATTTCTTAAATTATATATTTTGTAGTTTTTTACCCATTTTTCCTGATGAGGTTAGTTAGCTAATGAGGTTATCCATCCCCTTGTCCCAAAGATCCATACTTAGGATTTATTAGTAATTACCCCTTTCTGGTTTCTAATTCATTTATTTATGTCTTTATCTTTATTAAAATCTTTCTACTTTCCTTGTTTCTTTTTAGTTTCTTGAGTTAGGGGCTTAAATCTTTAAACAAGGAAAAAAAGGGAAAATTAAGACTATGAATTCTCTGAACACTGCTTTATCTATATCCTGTAGGTTCTAATATGTAACATTTTTATCATCATTTTTCCTAGATATTTTATAACTTCATCTTTGATTTCTTCTTTGACCGAAGGCTCATTTGAGTTCCACCTCTCTACCCATATAGTAGGTGCTTTTGTGTTTTGTTTTTTTCCTAGTTTTATTGCATTATGATCAAAAGGTTGTCTGTGATTTCTGCTTTTTTGGATTTTATTGAAGTTTTCCTTGTAATATAATCTGTGGTCATATTTTGTGAGGTTTTAAAATTTTTATTAATTTATTTTAGAGAGAGGAGGGGGAGGGGGGAGAGACAGAGAGAAACAAGATCTGTTGTTCCACTTTATTTATGTACTTGTTGGTTGGTTCTTATGGGTATCTTGACCAGGGATCGAACACTCAACCTTGGTGCTTTGGAACAGTGCTCTAACCAACTAAGCTACCTGGCCAGGGCCCAAGTTTTTGTAGGTTTTGAGACTTTTTACAGGGACTTGAAAAGAAGATGTGGCTTTGTTTTAAGGATTCAGAGTTTGGCGTATACCAATTATATCTACTCCATTATTTGTTAGTTAGGTCTTCTCTAGCCATACTTACCTGTCGTGGGAAGAGAAATGAATTGGATGCCCACTGCTGATGGATTCGAGTCTGTTTCTTCTTGTCGCATCTACAACTTTGACCTTATGAATGGCGATGCAGTGTTACTTAACACATAGCTGTTAATACCTTCATTGTGACTTGCGTCTTTCTTTACTGTACTTAATACTTTGGGGGCAGATTGAATTTTATCTGTTAAGATGGTAACCTCTGCTCTTTCAATTCTCAGTTTTCTTGAAACCTTGGCCAGTCCTTTTATTTCAACCTCTCTGAATGACTTTGTTTAGATGTGACTCATACAGTATAGAGTTGGATTAAGCTTTGTGATTCAACCTGAATGCCTTTTAAAAATTTTGAGAGCTTAGCCCATTTACATTTATTGATATGACAGACGTCTCATCTGAGTTCATTTTGTGCTTTGCTGTAATTGCTTTTAAAAGTCTTTTCCTCTGTGATCTGTGTTCTCTGCTTTGTTTAATGCACCTACTAATCATGAGAAAGGTTGGTGTTTTTTGTAACTTTAAATAATACCCTAATTTTCTGTTTCTTTCTAACGGTATCTATTACTTTCCCTAAGATGAACAAAATGATGAAATTAGCATCCAGTTGACGGTGGAACAACAGGGGTTTGAACGATGTGGGTCCACTTTCATGTGGATTTTTAAAAATAAGTACGTTCAGTACCATGGGTGTATTTTCTCTTCCTTATGGTTTTCTCGGTAACATATTCCTTTCTCTGGCTTGCTTTATTGTAAGAATACAGTATACAATACATCTATGTTAATCAACTGTTTATATTATTGGTAAGGCTTCCAGTGACCAGCAGGCTATTGGTAGTTAAGTTTTGGGGGAGTCAAAAGTCTTACGTGGATTTTTCACTGTGAGGAGGGGGTTAACACCCCCTAATCCCCATGTTATACAAGGGTCAACTGTACTTTCTTTTTCTTTCTACAGCATTTCCTTGAAGTTCACTTCATCCCTTTAAACCTCTATCATCTGACATCAGCTTCAAAGATGCCCTTTGACCCCACCTGTTAAAGACGAGGACATCTATGTACTTAAACTCCTGTCCCCTCTGCCCTTCCCTTCTGTTATTAGGGACACCCGTACTCTGTTCCTAGGGCTCCTACTATTAGCACCTGGTGACAGAGCCCCAGTCCCCCTGTTGTTCCAGTCTCAGTCTCGCAGGTAAATGGGATCAATTCTCACCACCAGCTCTTTTGCCTTCTTTTCCCGTCATTGGAAAGTTGGCCCTCAGGTCTGCGGCTCAAGGCCTCACGTGACCGGCACGCCTGGCGTTCCGCATGCTCAGAACTACCTGTCGCCTTTCTACTTGAGTGAAAAATCATCCCTGGGCCACTTTGCTTTCTTGAGGATTTTTGTAGACCTTGGTCTGTTCTCATGTTGAACGTTGCCATGGAGAAACTGAAGCCGGATTTCCCTGCTTTATGTTTCATTCTGATCTTTCCGTGTCTTTCATATCATTACTTTACTAGCACGTGTCTTGGGACTGACCATTCAAGTGTGTTTTTCCCGGAACACTGCACCGTGCCCTTCCGATACACAAGATCCAAGGCTTTTGTTATTTCACTTTCTGTCTCATGGGGACCCCCGTTGAAGCACAGGTTGGCTGTCCTTTGCCCGTCTTCCCTGTGTACCCTCTTCTGGGTAAGCCTTTCTAACTCTTTTTTTTTTTTTTCATTTTGGTCAGTTTTTTTTCCTTGCACTCCTTCTATTTTACCCTTTTGCTCATACAGTAAGATTTTTCTCCTACTCTTCTCTCTCTGCTTTGTGTTTTTGCTTCATAGAAACAATTGTTACTGCATTTTTATTTCCTTCACAAT